TGAAAAAAAATTCTATAATTATATTTGAATCCTCATTTTACTTGAGGAATTCCCCATGAAGCCCTAGAACCTTCCATGAAATTTCAAAAGCTAAGCTGCAAGAGTGTGGGTGCCCAGGGTGCTACTGAGCCCTCTGAGAAGAATGAAGTCAGGTGGGCGTGGGAGAAAGGAGTGGGCAGTGGGAGCATTTCACAGAGAGCGTGGGTCCTGCAGGGGTTGGCAGATATGGCGGAAGGGAGCTCCTTCCACCATATTAGGTGCTAAAGGAGAGGAAGCAAACACAGTGGTTAGGAATGTGTTCTGAGGAGCTGTCTACCCAGGCATGGATCCTGACCTTGACACTGATTAGATGAGAGACACAGGGCAAGTCACTTAAAATCTCCAGATTCACTTTGTAAAAACTTATGTGGGCTCACTTTAAGTATCTAGATAAATCAAGATTACATGCATACAGATCAAGAAATATCTCCAAAGAAAAACTTTATCTTTGAGCCTTATAATTTTATTTGAAGTTCTGAAAATCTTACTTTTTTAAACCTTGAACTCCCTGGTAAAAAGATGTAACTTGACTCCACAAAGCACATTCAGATTGTCTTAATATTTACAGCACTGGTGTGCTTTGATTGGGAGGCAAATTTAGCATTTTCATCTACCTAAACACTTGAAAAACTGGCCTTCATGATTTTGATGAGAGTGACTCAAGTGGTAGAGCTCCTGCCTTGAAAGCATGAGGCCCTGAGTTCAAACCCCAGTATTGCAGAATAAAACAAAAACAACTCTTGATGATAGTGGCTTTTTAATTTTAATATATGATTAGATGTTTATTTCATAAATTTCCTTAGCCATGTTTAGGTGATTTTCCTAATTCTAGAAAAAATAATTTAAAATGGGAATTTAAAACTCTATTCACAATAGTGGCAAATTTATAAAAGCCAAGGAATAAATTTAATAAATATAGTATAAGCTGTAGTAAACATAGATTCAGCTGTAGTTGCAGACAATTTTACAATGCCATTCATTAAATAAATTTTCCTCTTTCCCCAGAACTGAAAAGTCAAGCCAGGTACCTGCAGCTCATGGCTGTAAGCCTAGCTACTTGGGAGGCTGAGATTGGGAGGATTGCAGTTTGAGACTAGCCCAGGCAAATAGATCATGAGACCCCCATCTCCAAAATAACCAGAGCAAAATGGGCTGGAGGTGTGGCTCAAGTGGTACTTGCTTTGCAAGTGCAAACTCTGAGTTCGAACCCCAGCTACACACACACACACACACACACACACACACACACACACACACACATATCAGTGAATCATATGTTAATTATATTACCATCACTCTAATTGACATTGTATGGAAGTTCTTAATTGGTGAAATACAAAATTTTGAAAAGGTACAGGTGTGAGAAAGGAGGAGATGAAGCTATCATTATTCACAGACAGAAAATCCAAAATAGTTTTCAGATAAACTTTTAGGATGATGTAAGTACATTTAACAATGTTGCAATATATAATATCAATGCAAATGTAAATTTTATTTCTATATAGAAGAAGCAACAATTAGAAAAGAAAATTTTTAAACTATCATTTATAGTAGTGTCAGAATATTGACAATGATATATAAGGACTTAGAATGGCTATGATCATTTAAAAAAAGAACAAAGAGGATGAACTTAAACTTCTAGCTACAAAAGTCTTATGAAAGAGCTACCATAACACAGAATGGAACTGGAGTAAGTACAAATAAATAGAGAATCCAGATAGAAAGATACACAAATATGTGAATAGAATAGAGTCTAGAAAGGGACCCAGACACATGACTTATGACAAAGGTGACTCTTTAGTGGAGTCAGCAAGAAACAATCTTTTCAATAAATGAGTCTGGGTCAATTGGATATCCATATGGAAAAGCAATACTTCTCAGTCTCTACCTTACATAATATTCAAAAGCAATTCCAAATTGATTGTAGAATAAGTTTGTAAGATAAAACAATAAAGCTGCTAAAGGAAAGGAAATCATAGGGATTCTCTTCATGACCTTGGTAGTGCAAAGCTTTCATAAATAAGACCCTCTGAAAAAAGTACTGATCTCAAAAGAAAGGCTGCAAATTGGCAAGCCATGAAGTGGGAGACAATAGTTCCAGCAAATGTACAGCAAAGGACTGGCTTGTAGAATATATTTAAAAATCATATATTCATATATAATCATATATATTTTTATATATCAATGAGAAAAAGACAACACGTTATTAATAAGTTGGATGAAAGACTTGCACTTCAACAGAGAGACATACACCATAAGTATAGAGTCATTAGTTATCAGCAACATTGCATTAAAAACATGAGGAGTCTAGATGCATACAAAACACATCAGAGTGGCCAAAGTTTTCAGCTGAAATTATCCCAACTTGTGGAGGGGTGGAATAACTGCAGCTCTCATATGTTGTTGGTAGGGAGAATAAATTAGAAAACTAATTTTAGGTCCAGCTAATCACACTTTTGTGTATATGCTTTTTTTCTTGATCTGGGTAATAGTTTCAGGAATATATTCATTTCAAAAAATATATATCAAATTGTGCACTTATAATTTCTCCACTCTTTCCATTTGTTATAACTCAGCCAGAAGCTTACCTTAAAAATGTGCCCAGCAATAGGAAAATATAGAATACTGTTTTATCATGATACAAGTAAGTAGAATTTGAGGTTATTTGACTTGTCCACCAAAGGGCTTAAATTCCCATGCTGTTCATAAAGGTGTGTGCATGTGCGTGTGCGTGTGCGTGTGTGTGTGTGTGGGGGGATTTATAACATTTTAGAGCAGTTTGTTTTCTCCTGAGGACAAACATAGATTAGTGACTCCTGCTTGACAGCTGCTTTATTTTATCCTTGTAATGTGAAGGTTTCACCTGTGGCCTCCATAAATAAACTCAACAATTAATCTTCATCCTTTGACAAATGGCCTCTTGTTTCTGGAGTTTCAATGGAAAGGGTCAGAAGTCAAAATGCTCTGTTTGTATCTAGTATATAAATTATGTCATGAATAGAACTCTAATGTTAGATAAAACTGACTTGGACACTTAAAAAAAACCTATTCCTAGTTTTAATATGGGAAGGATACCACAATAAGAAAGGTACAATACAATAGACAATATGAATATCTTAGTACCAATTATATTTATTTGCAAACTACTTTGAAATTCATCTGCTAAAGGCTATTTAAATTGGGCATGGAATGTTTCATCTATAAAATAGCCTACATGTTCTGTTCAGTTAAATAGCAATGAAATACAACTCAAATAAACATGCTAAGCACAAATAGTTTCAACAAATTAATAAAGCATTTAGTATTAGATTGCCAAATGTTTCCCCTTTTCTGAAAAAAAGGCAATGAAATAACAAAAATAACAACAATAAACATTTGTAGCATTCCAATAATGGACTACCTTGAGTTTGGGGAAACCCTCATGTATTTCTGGTTGAAACGTTAATTGCCACAACCTATTGGGAAAGTAATTCTGGCAAAAAAAAAAAAAGTTAAATGTAAAAGGTAAACACCCTTTGATTAAGCAAAACAACTGTAGGGACTCAGCAATATAGAAATTAAAGGTATCTTACCCAATCATGTACAAAAGTGAAAACACCAGTCTGGAGAATATGTGACTGGATTAGGAGATGGCAGCCATTAAAAAGGATGTGCTCAGTAACGGTTGTATTCTGTGGCCTCTATCGAGTGGTCATTGTATGTTAGGTACCATTCTAGGTGTTTTATCTGTCTAGGCCCATTCATCCAATTCCTGTAACAACGATATCAGTTCTATTTTATGAATGATGAAATTAAAGTTCAGGCAGATAAAATATTTTACCTGTTCATGTGTGGTGAGATCTGAATTTGAATCGGCCTGGCTTCCTCTGGAATGCACACTCTTAACCAGCATGTAGTTATTCTGCCTTCCTGAATTAAGGAAGAATTTCTCTTACATGTTGTTAATTGAATAATCAAGTAATGGAAATGTAATTATCCCATTAAAAAAAGCAAAGCAAAAGTCATATGCAAGAATATTCCCCAAGCTGGAAACATTGGTTACATCTGGATTGATCAAGGAAGAGAGATGTTATTAACTTTTTATTTATTTGCTTCCTTATTCTTGAAGTTCTAGAAAGTGCTGGAATACATTGTTAGTTTTTTAATTTAATGATGTGAAGAAAAAATTAACAAAAACCAGCTTCTACTTTTAGGTCCATTATGCTTTCTTGAGAGTAAAAGGAATGGATGATTCACTTAATAAGCAGACAAGAAATTAATAAAACTTGTCCTGTAATTTCATACCAGGATTCAGATCCACAAAGCTCAAATTCTTTGTGGGCATTACTCTTTCATTATCAAAAGTATTTAGGTCAGCATGAAGTGGGTCCCAGTAAATGCTCATTTCCTGTTGAAAATTTTTGTTCTCTCTTCTTTGCCTTTCCCCCAAGTAAATAACCAATGTTACGACCTCAAAAGCTGTCTTTATTTTCCACTTTAAGCCTTGTCAGGATGACTTAACTGCACCGCCCTTGGCCTTAGCAACTCAGTGCCTCGAAAGGTGGAATGATTTCCAAACATAATTTGTGGTTACTTTCTCCCCATCTTCCCTGTGACTGTGGTAGCCTTACATTCAAAATGAGAGGGGGACTTTCATCAACCTGCCAGCCTGCTATAAAGGAGAGCATTTTATTTGGAACACAGCCAAAAGTACTTCACTCAGAACCATGTACAGAGATTATATAAATGCAAACAGTCCCTATTTCTAGAAGTATTTGAAATTTTATAGGCTGATCTATAAATCGTAATAGGACATTGAATGACATATGAGACATTTCTGCGCCTTACCTTAGGCACAAAAGTTAAGTACTTTTTATGTAAAATTGTTCTATGAAATTGTATTTGGGTGTTTTGAGAACTTTACTTCAGTCATCAATTTGAAGCAATGCATTTCACAAATACTTTTATTCTCTTTCTTTCAGGTCCCATTTGATGTCTCCTTGCCTTCTATATTTAGCCTCGAGAGACTTTTTGATCTTGCTAATGGTTGTATTGTATCGGGAGGAAGCCTCTTCAACTGGATGGTGTCAGTTATTTCCTGAACATTCCTTACACAGTGACCTTCCAGAGATTTAATTGACATTGTTTTTCTTGGTTTGAAATAAGTTTCTGAAACTATCAAAATAAAATTAGTTTCTCACACAAGTTGAAGTTCTTTAGAAAATATAATTTCAATGAACGTTTTAAATAGTATTTGAATTAAATGCTAGTGCTCTTGCTTGGCACAATATCTTACAGAGCTCTTTGTAGAAAACATGTTTGTGCACAGCACAGCTCTCCTAATATTTGTGGTAGTTTATGTTAGGTTGTCTTTAGATGAATCTGTACAGCAAGATTGGGTTAAACTGGTGATGCTCAACTGAGAGTAGTTTTCCCCTTAAGTGACTCTTGACAATGTCTGAGGGCAGTTTTGGTTGTTATAACTGTAAGGAGAGTATTAGTGTCACCTACTGTGTAGAGGCCATAGATGCTGCAAAAATCCTGTGATTTACAAGATAGGCCCCTACAGCAAAGAGTTATCAGGCCCCAAATATTGCCAGGGTTGAGAAACCCTGGATTAAACCTCAATGTGTGGTAAGCTCAACTCTGGAACTTTGTCTGTTTGTCTTGGAAAGAAGTTTGTAGTATATTTTATACTTCTGAGATGTACATTGCACACAATTTTATTGAGTTGACTTTGAAATTATACAGACCTTGGTTTGAATAAAAAATTAACCTCTTGCTAGCTTTGCTACTTCTTAAGCCATTGTTTTTCCATCTATACAATGGGGATATGAGTATCCATCTTACAGGACTACTATATTATTAGATTAAATGAATTGGTACAGTAATGTGTTAAGCACGAGGCCTGATGTAATAACACAGTGTGGGAAAATGATTGCTGGGGTGAAAGGGGATTATGCATTTTCTAGCATCTAACAGTGCTAGAAGCATATGTGCCTCCCAGATCCTGGCCCACAAATGGACACTCATAGTAAAAAGTAAATAAACAATAATAAAAGAATAATGAAAGTGTGTTTTTTAAAGCTAAATGGTTTTAATGTATTGTCCTTTATTATAAGATTATGAATTTTCTACTTTCTAATGGTGTTAAAAAGTCTTCCTTTTATGAAGAAATGGTAATAGCAGGTGTTAACCAGCAGTTTAAGATGCTTTAACTTGATAATAAAAGAAAAAAAAAAGAGTAGCTTTATTTTGGTACCCAATATTCTAAATGTAAACATTCATAAAGATCCAAAATGTGAGAAGACTTGAACTAGAATTGCCCTACAGTATTACATAAAGGAAGTGAGTCTTAAGCAAGACATTTAAGTACGAGAAGAGTTTGGTGGATGAAAGTGTGCCATAAAGTTTTTCTAGAAGCTAAACCAGGTGTGGTACTTCATGCCTGTAATGCCAGTACTGTGGAGGCTGGAGAATTGTAAATTTGAGGCTAGCCTAGGCTATATAGCAAGACACTATCTCAAAAAAATTTATTTTTTTGCTAGAAGCAAGAACACTGTAGGAGAACAGAGACAAAAAAATGAAAATGCATATGGTTCATGTGTGAAGAATCTGCCTGCTATCTGTATAGAGTGTGTCCAGTTATGATGGAAAATGATAATCACTCTAAGAATGAAGTAGGATGAAGACTTGAGGCTGAAGCAGTAGATGAGAGGGTACCATTGCAGGTCATTGAGAAGAGAGAATTTTCTGGCACTGGTAGACATTCAATAAATACTGAGTAAAAAGAATAAGCAGAATGAATGATGATGGCCTGCTCTCCAGGGAAGATAAACATGCAGGATATAATGGGAGAGGCCAGAAGACCTAAAGGAAGCAATGTCAAAAGGAAAGAGAAAAGAATAAAACAGTTACTGGTGAGTTTAAGGCAAAGAAACTCTATTGGATGACTATAACTAACCTCATACGAAATTTGACTCAAATAAGAAAGCATTTGGATGGTGATAGCTCTTATTCAATGAAGACTTCCCAGTCCTTTTGGCCCGGGCCTAGGGTTTATAACTGTCTCTGTTGGGATAGAAAGCACTTGAAGAGTTTGTTCTTCTTAATAGAGGGAGTTTAATTTATTATGCAAAGCTTAGCCATCCAGGACAAGGAACGTACAGTAGATTGTCCACACATTTAACACAGGTGTGAAAGTTTGACATGACTACAACCAATGCTGTTCACTTCCACCTAATAATTTCCTGAGAATGTATATGTCCATCTTCCATTCTTGTCTGTTAAGTTTTTACTAGTTGAGTGTTTCTTATTTGTATTTTAAATATTAGCAATACTTGTACTATTTTATAGAACCCTAGAACAATGCCCAGCACATAGTAGAGATCTATAATATTGTTGAACCAGTGAATGGAAGGAGCGATGGATGTGACCCAGGCAAAGTAGTACTGTGGTGCTCTGAAAAGAAGGAGGCAAAGATAATTGCTTATACTTCTATCGTCACGATCACTACCATTATTCCCTACCCTTTCTGGAGCATTTACCACGCAGTATTAGTAATTGCTTCACATGCATTATCTCCCCGTCTTCATAGGAATTATGACCGTGATTCACAAAGTATTACTGACCCTGTGTTACAGAAGAGGAAAGGAAGTGGAAAGTAGTTACATAACTGGCTCAGTGATCACGGTCGGTCAGAGATGGAGCCAGAATTTAAATCCTGACTTGGGATTCTGTGCTCTTCACTGCTAAGCTTGCTTCCCCTTCCCTTGCACCAGTGTATTGGTCTGGGACATTTGTAAGTAAACAGAGCGTAAGACATAGCTGAACCCCAACCTAAAACTGGAACACCTATCATCTGCCCTGGAGCTGACTTTCAGACCTGAACAGGTGCCTCCAGAAGGCATGAAGATGGTGAGGTGCAATGTTGCCTATGCTAGTGTACTAGTTTCTTCTGGGGAAGGCATGTCCCTTCCAACTATTGCAGATTACATAATATTTCAGTACATTTTTAAAAATTCTCCACTTTCAGTTATTTACAGATGCTGTTATTCTTGGGTGTTGTTTTGCCTGAGAAAAACACTGTCTAAAACCATACCAGACCTTGAAGTCACAGTTTCCCTATTTTAAATATCATTTTAGAAACTTCCCTTCTAAAATAGGAGTGGCACTCACTAGTTAAAGCTGGAACTTTCTGTGCAAGGAACTGAGAAAATGATGGTACACTTGGCTGAAGTACAAACAAAAATTAAACTCCAAATCTACCAGTATGAAAGATTTGTTTATTTCCAGAAATGTCTTTCAGAGTTTTTTTTTAAAGCAAATTATAAATTTGCAGCTGCTTTTTTTAATGCTGTATTCAGTATCTGCAAATACTTTATAGCAGACATCTGTGGTGTTTCTGTTTGTTTTAATTATAACAGAGAATGGCGCAAAGCAAACCAAAAGGGGGAGAAAAGGAGAGGGAAGCGGGGAATGGGAGGGAAGAGGAGTCACTGCCCGCAGGTAAGTGACAGGTAATAAAACACATTTGCTTCCCAGAGCTTTTCCTTATCCACATGCAGGAGCTTGCTATGAAATGGACCACCTGCCAGCTATTCAGAGGCTTAAATGCAATGGTCTTGGTTCATTTCATGTGGGGGCATCTCACACATTCCCCAGCCTAGTTGACTTGTTCTCCTTCACTGAATTGCAGGAGGAAATGGTATGTTTCTGGAGAGTACTAGAAACTTGGTTTCAGCTCTGGCTTGCATTCCCCTTCTTTCCTTCTGTGGATAACATCTTGCAAATCCCTCCATCCTAGTTTAAATGACTGGGCAGAAGGGTGTCTGCCTTCCTGGAGTTCTAGCACACTTCAGGATGCCCTGCACACTTGGCTCCTAAAGGTGCCCTCTGCTACATAGTTTTGTAAGGTCAGATTCCCACACAACGGTCTTCTAGCCTTGACTCAAGGGTGTCATGGTGTGGGAGCCTGCTCCACGTTCTTTTGGGTTAAATTCAGTTTTAGACATGGTTGGGCACATCTCTAACTGTGGGCTAGGGGAAAAAACAGTGGACGCAGTGGTGTAGTTAGGCAGAAGAATATTATACAGAAGTTATAAAAGAATGAATAAGTAGGGCACCAGTGGTGTCTGTAATCCTAGCTACTCAAGAGGCAGAGATCTGGAGGATCAAGGTTCGAAGCCAGCCCTGGACAAATAGTTTCCAAGACACTGTCTCAAGAAAAACCAATCACAAAAAAAAAAGAAAAAAAAAAAAAAGCTGGCAGAGTGGCTCAAGTGATAAGAATGCCTGCCTAGTAAGTGTGAGGCCCTGAGTTCAAACCCCAGTGCTGCCAAAAACAAACAAAAAAATGAACTAGAGAATCCAAACAACATTTGTAAATTAATTAGAGACACCTGTATCAATATGGACTCACTTCAAAAGCAGGTTGAGCAAAAGAAAAACAGTGTTGCAAAAGAAAATATAGGAAGATAACATTTTATAAAGTTTAAAAGCAGGAAAAATGGCATAGTATTTATGGATGCACACATATATACTAAAATTTTTTGACTTTTTTGTTAGCATACATTAGTTATACAAAGGGACTTCATTGTGGTATTTCCGTACATACTTTGAACACAAGTTAATGGTCCACACCAAATTCTGCTTGCAGTTACTTCTTGTACAAAGAAGGGAAAATGAGCTCTAGGAGAACTCCTGAGAGGTTTCATTTGTATTTGTAATATTTTCTTTTTTAAGCTGGATATTTGTTATATTGGTCTCTACTTTTTTGAATGCATGATATGTTTCATAATTAAAAACAAATACCTTTAATTTCTTGGCTGGTAAGCTTAGTACAGGTATTGACTCACAGGTATTCAGAGTAAACAACTCTTAAATGCAAGCTGTGATTCTGGTCTCATTATATGACTGCAACAAGAGGCTCACATCTGGTTCCATTAATTTTGGATTTTAATGACAACTAAAAATCATTTTGAGACTAATGTTGAACTATATACTTATTCCCAATTTTAGAAAACTCAATCTATTAAAATATTAATTTTAATATAAAATGGTAGTGCCTTAATAAATGTTTAATTAGATTGAGGCAGATTCC